AAGTAGAAGTTAATTGCCGGAAAAGGGCGCCAAAACTATTCCTTGTAAGTCAAACAAGGCGCCTTCAAATACACCATGACATGGACTCACGCGAAGCTAAACTGCAAGGTTCACGTTTTTTTTAATTGAAACGTGAAAGAGCAAGCTGACGTTTGCCGTTTCACGTAAACGCATCGCTTGATCTCTCTATCAATAATAATAATTAATAATAATTCAAACATATTTATATAGGATTGCTGCATCAGTTTTATAAAAAAAAACTGCTATCAATGCAGGTACTGAAATTGTATCGTAGAACAAACGGCACGGTAACATGAAATCTAAAAGTTAAAGTGATAATCCTTACTCGGCTTTTGAAATTTCCTCTAGGTTTACTGATAGAGAATTACAGCCCCGTTTAATTTGTATTTTAGCTATTTTTTAATGTATATTTCAATCAGGTGTTGGAACAGTTGGAGCGATAGAACTTCTTCACGAATTTTCAGGCGAAGGCCTTGATGGACTGAAGAAGTTCAAGTAAGTGGATCTATTATTATATCGCTGGCAGTGCTCGGGGGCAATATGAAGCGAATCCTGTGTTCTGATTGGCTACCCATCTCACCCGCTCGGGATGACCCGCTTCGGTCTTGCTCAAGAAAGAAAATTTCTTGGAGCAAACTTACAAAGAGGTTAATAAGGGTTGGACAGTATCGGCGATGGGATCGTTAAAAGCTCGACTTCATCTCGGTTCATAAAAAACGCAAAAAGGAGCTCCGCCAATATCCAAACATCTTTACCTCACGCTTGGTCAATAACGCATTTATCTTTGGTTAGCTGGTGCCCCTAATTTTAATACAAGTAGAGAAAAAAAAAAAAAAAACACCTTCTTGAGTCTTCCGAAACACTTTCAGGAGATGTTAAATTGGGTGACATGTCGCCAGTGTGAAAGAAAGATTTCTTGAAAGGACGAACGAATCTTTTGCAGATTGTGGCACGAAGAGGTAAAAAAGCGTACCAAACATCCTCAAGAAACCAAAGTCAAGAGGAAAATGGTAAGAGATTAAATCGGACTAGAGCGAGATTAGTCTTGGGGGTAAATCTGAAGGAATAACACGCGTTAAGGGTGATACACACCTTACAGTGCTGTTGGCTCCTTCATGTTATCGTCGGAGCTGAGTTCACATCTTCCTTTCCCTTCAAATTGACGTCGCCCTCAGATGTTCTCCTGCACGAAATTTGTCTGCCATTTATAGCTAATACATCCATATTCCATCCGTCGGATGTAATATCTGAGCAGAACGCTTCAAACACATTCGTGTTTCGTTGTTACCCCTTGACATGGGTAAGTTGACTGTAAGTAAGTCACTTCATTTCAACTCGAAACGCTCCGACGAAGGGCTAACGCTCGAAACGTCAGCTTTTGTAATCATTACGGTGGCCAATTTACCATTTCAACCTTGTTGATATGTCCAAATTATTTCGTTACCCCCACCGACGCAGCCCCAAACAGTTTCTTTCGAAACTATCAGCTATAAACTTTATTTCAACTCGAGTTGATGAGGCTATTAGGCCCCAAGCAGAAAATGCTTATATGCCGATGAAAGTGTTATAGAACGACTTATTACTAACTTTCCAACTACTTTAATTAAGTAAACGATATTAACTCTTAAAATTATAACGGTTAGAAGGTCTTAATGGACTGTACATTACAATTGTAGCTCTCTTACGGCATTGTCGACTTAAATTCCTTAAGAATTGCCGTTGAGCGTATTTCATCCGGCAAGAAATGAAAGGATGATGCCTTGATTCTTCTTTTTGTTTTCTTCTCTTCTCTTTACATTTTCTCTTTTCCTTGCCTTTTTCTTTCTTTTAATTTTTCTTCTCTTTCCTCTTCTCTTTTCGTTCCAGTTTTTGTTCCTAATCTTTCAAAGCTACTTTTTCTCAAAAAATTGTTTTTCATTTACCCCTTCCTACTTTTATTTCTGGTAGAGATCTGTGGAATTACCGAGTGATTTTCCAGCCGAGGAGGTGTACGAAGCTTATTTACATCCTGTCGTTGACGAGTCAACGGAGCAATTTGAATGGGGGAAGCCAGACCTGCATTCACTTAGATTATATCCTCCATTTTTGACCAGCAATTTTCTTGAAGCTAGCTTTTGCCGTTTTTTCATTTTTTTTTTCATTTTTGTTTTTGTTTTTGTTTTTGTTTTTTTTAGGGGAGGGGGAGGGGGAGGGGGGCCGGAGAGGTCGTCATCATGGGAGATACAGAAGTGCGCTAGTCTCTAGGTTTTCTCTCAGGGTGGGTTAGTTTGGTTTGGGATGCTAAGCCAGTTATTACTCTCACAGTGTAGATGGATACTGGTAAACTGTTAGAGAAACTTGACAAAACCCCATGAGAAGAGCCGAGAGGGAGTGGGTAACGTCTCGCAGTGTAGATGGATACTGGTAAACTGTTAGAGAAACTTGACAAAACCCCGGAAGAAAATTGCAGAATGGCAAAATTTACCCTTTAAGCTACCAATCTATAAATATTTAAGACTTTCAAACTGTCCCGCAATCAAGCATTTAAACCTCATTGGCCTGTAGAATTAGAAATTTTTCATGTATAATCAGGCTTTTTCCATTTACGGATTTTATTTCGCGTCAGTGTTACTTGCCGTGTAAAACGGGTTCACACAAGCAAGTCTCTTACGAAAATGCCCTTCTATAAAAGGAGTGCGACAGATGTTTATTATTCCTTAACACGCTTACGTTCGCTTCGGACAAGTTTGGTTGGTCTTCGGCCAGAACAGATGAAGTTCTCCTGCCCGTGTTGAAACAACTCAACAAAAATGAGGTGGGTTTGTCTCAAGCTTCAAAGTCGTATCGTTATGTGTCATCAATTGTGGTCCAGTAATTGAAAAAAAAATTCCAAACTGTGGCTGTCAGGTTCGCTATGCTGTGCAGACATTGGTATAGTGCTAATATGGTCACGAAGAGTAACAAGAGGTTTGCCGACAGTCGATATGAAGATTTGTAACGAATGTGCGATTACCTCTTACATTTAGCTAACGTTGCGTTACGTTTTCCATGTTAAGTCACGTACTACACACAAGAGGGTTTAGTTGACTCGGGGTTAATGTCCCCCTCCTCCCCGCTAAATCCCCTACTCTAAGTATTATTTTTTAGAAGGCAAAAAAAAATACACAAAGGGAAACTTTTAGCCATTGATAAACGCTAGCTTCTCGAACAACCGGCCACTGTTTTTTGAAAGCCATGGCGTTAAAGCTGATATTTCTTTGATGTTGGTTTATCTCTTTTTGGTTTTTGTTATTGTTTTTGTTTTTACTGGAGGTTAAGATCATAGAAGAAACCGTTGTTTATACACTTTTTTTCGTCACACGGTAACATTAATATTTGTGATTCTTTTTGGGTAGACCCAGATGAAAATAAGCGATTATTTCGAGGTAAAGTTTCAAGAAACAAGAACAATCAAAAGCAAACGAATCAAACGAGTGTTGAATCGGAAATTTAATCCACCAAGTGGCAGCAGCGACGGTGAGGACAGAGTGGAAAATAACAAGAAGCAAAAACAACATACGGGTGAAATTTCAAGTAAAAAGACAAATCATAATCCGGAGCTAAATGATAAAAAAAGAACCCTCTCGACAAAGAAGAGCGCAAGTAAACATGATATCGAAGCCGACGCCAAGCGTGCGAAAAAGGATGTCGATGGAGATAGCGCATGCGCCTTCGCGGTAACCCGCTCTTCGGGAAGAAAAAGAGGTCGTGGGCGCGGTCGAGGGAAAACGCGGGAAAGGGAGAAGGCGAATGATGATTTAAAGTTGTCAGTTGCTGCACAGTCGTCCAATCAGGTAACGAGGAAACAACTCTCTCAGGAGAACAAGGTAAGGCCCCGGAAAACCCGCAGTCGATCTTCGACATCAGCTGACACTGAAAAAGAAACACTTGTTGATCAAGTTCCTGAAAATGACAAAAAGAGAAGAAAACAGCAAAGTCCTGCAGCTAACAGGAAGAAAAACGACGCAAGATGCAGTGCCGAGGATGATGATTCTACGTCGGACACAACAGACAGCGAGGATTTTGATGAGAACTTTTATGCCGGACCCAACCCCGTGTCCGTATTTGCCCGGGGGAGGGGGAGGGCAAGTGTCAGGCCTAGGGGGCGGGTATCTAGACGAGGAAAATGACCCCTGCAGTCAATTTCGTTTTCAGCAGATGTTTAATCTACAAACAGTCCGATACCTTTAATATGTACCTCTCACGAACGATATATTTATTAAAACATTAAGCTATAGGAAAATAGAGATGCATTATTTATTTCATAATTTATTTATTGCTTAACCAAAAATAAAAACAAACAAACAAACAAATAATTAATCAAAAAAAAAAAAAATTCCAGATTAGTTACTGCGATGTTTTACCGCAGCAGACTCATGATACCCAGAGAACAAATTCAAAATGTGGTGTATGTACTCCGCAAGTGTCCCGCACGAGAAATTCAAAATGTCGAGTAGTTTATGCAATTTTCACTAAGACAAACTCGTGACAAGAAAAGGAAAACACGCCAAAAAGTTATTTCTTCGGGAGGTGTTCTTCTGTGGTAGGATTCTCAGCAGAGAATGCCATTGGCTTTTTAGCCTGCGTACTAATATCGTACATTTTTTTAGATGATATATAACACCGGACTTCCAATATTTAATGAAACCAGCTTAAAAACAACAACGTTTATACGGACAGTGTTGTGTGATGTCTCTTGTGACAACTGAACCGCGTTAATGTATTAAAAAAAGAGCACATTCGATTCAGTTTTTGTAAAGCTTTCACACCCCGTCGCATAACAAGTTATTCAAATTTAACTTACGTTTTCACGCGCTTTAATTCTCAACATTTAGATATCGATTCTCATAGACTATCTGCCTTTATTTTATTTCGGTCATAGCCCAATATAACTGATTTTTCCTTGTATCTTGATGGGAGCAATTTTCTTTATCATAGAAATGACGTACGATGGTGTGTGATTTTAAGGACTGTCCCATCTTCAATAACATCGTCGTGTACAAATTTTCAATTCGACAAGACAGCAATCGTTTCAATCTTGTTTCCTGTTGCACACTTATAAGTAGCTCTCGCTTGTTTCGCAGACATGTCCTTGCGAAAACTTGTTCTTAAACGACATTTTTTAGATTTTCAGTCTATCCTTTTTTTTGTTCTCTTTGTTTTCTTTTTTAAAGAAATTCCAACTCGTATTGGCAACTTGGAAGTTACAGACTAAGATAAAAATTTCATTTGATAAAACACATGAAGTAAAAGTATTGATTACAGTGGCACGGATAAAGCAATCTGCCTCTTTTCAGCTGATAAATGAGGAAGAATCTTCATGCTAAATGGAGTTTTAAGGAAACCGAATACCCTCCAACCCTAAATAACTCTTTAAAATAAATTTTTCTTTAAGTACTTGAAAGGTTTGTTGGTTTGATGAGTTGGCACTCGTGAAAACGCGATGCATCTTGATCAGTTGAAGAAACACGAAAGTGCATAGCATATCAAGAAAATATAGATATTTGAATTCTCAGGACATGAAATTTTCTTAGGCGATTACTTTTTTATCGAAAAACCCTGTGGATCGATTTGCAAAATGAAGTTTTGTGCGTGTTTGATAGAACAAAACAGGTGGAAACTATTATCCAGCCCATTTGCTTTCAAAGCGATGGGTTATACGCTCTCAAATTAATTATAATCATCCGCCGCTAGCCAAGAGCTATCCGAATTGAGAAAAAAAAACCTTGGGGAAAAAAAAGTGGCTTGATATCGCTTTTGAACGCAAACATGTCCCTAATACGCAAACTTGTGTCAGAACGAGAACTTTTAAATTTTTAAATTTGTTTTTACTTTGTTTCTTAATTCTCTCTACGCTGTGGTCGTCACGTTTCTATGGCTTTCGTATGGTATTGATTCAAAGTTTCTCGTGACCGTTCAACTGCTTTTTTCTCTTTTGAGAAAGAAGCATTCAAGGTCGTCCGTGCAAATTTATTTCACTTGCAAGTGACCGTGTTTTGAATACTAATAACCTCAAGAATGACCATATAAGGATTTTATTCTTTTTTCCTTCATTATTATTCATAAAGTCAAACTTTCTACCCAAAACATAACTTGTGATTATTCGCAATACGATATTATATCAATTTTCACAGAGCTACAAAAGCAAGATCGTCTAGTCTTTCCGTTGCTGAAGCGTTAAGCAACGATGTTGTCCTACATCCGCCGTGCGCAAAGAAGGAGGATGTATGAACGGGCAAATTCTGCCGACCGTGGATCGTGCGCCGCCGAACCGGAGTCTCCGACTTCGCCTTCTTCGTCTGAAAACGGACCAAAAAGTGAAGGTTTTCATTTTCATTCCAACGTAAAGAAGCAGCATTCTTTGCCCGAAGCTGGAGCAAAACATCCTTTGCAAACAAGGAGGACGAAGTTCAACGAAAAGCAAGAAAAATTGAGCGATGCAAAAACTGTGGAAGTTAACAATCTGGCTCCATCTGAGGGAACAGCCAAAGGTTCGCTCTAACTTCAATCATTTTTTTTCTCTTACGGACATTTCCTAGAGTGATATATCGTCGTTTCCGTAAAAAAAAAAAGCCTGAAATGAAGACAGTGTACTTTGAGGAAAATTCTCAAATGGCTTATGATGGGAAGTTTGCCAGATCCGCGTGGAGGAAGCATGACATATTTTCTTTACTCGTATTAATCTTAGATATATTGCGGTCCGGTAAAGCTTATTATGTCATAGCGAGAAATTACCCTTCTAGTATGTATATATGGCTGTAAAGGTTGTTGAAATCGCACTTTGTGAAAGATAGATTGTTCAAGGTGAGATGAAACTGAATTTTCAGACCTTAAGCCTCACAGTGAGTGAAATTGATCGTATCAAGAATGCAATAACAGCAAGATTTCTATTTCAATGATCGCAAGAGTGGAATTTTTCTAACAATTTTTGTTGTAAATTCAAGTCAAGCGTACAAAAAGGTTTAGACTAAGTAGCTTCATTTTCAAAGGTTACCTAAAACGTTTATTACGGTCGACAAGAATTGAAAAAATGATTTATTGTATGTTCTATACGAGTGTCTGTGGGAAGTCTCCTTCGCAAAGACGGAATACTAATGAACCATCTGCAGAGATTCTTGTTGCGTTTCCTAAATATCATTACCCTAAATTTAAGGGAGATATTTCACGCTTGCACTAATCCTAATTTATCAGTTACATAGAAGTATTCCCTGAAAAGTTATTTTGAAATAATTAAGGAGTTTAATTTTCTAAGATTATAGGATGTTTTTCTCGAGGAGAATACAAAAGCTTGTAAGTACAACATCAAAGGTGGGTGGTTTCTTGAGCTCAAAGTTAACGACAAACAACGATCGAGGCGTCGCCAATGGATAAATAGATCGTAGGAGGTCACATTGCAGAGCATATTTGCAACTGTCGAGGTCTACGACGAAGTTGCTTTACAAACAGTGGGTTATCAATGTTTCGATAAATGCCAGTTGGAGTTGATGGCGAGCGATGAAACGAAACAATTGAGATATGGGGTACCGCACGCGGTTTAGATCAACTGTTAACTCAAATTCGTTTTTCTTTTGGTTTGTTTTGCTCATGTTGATTCATATAAACATCCAGATATAGTACAAAGTAATTCGAATTAACCCTCTTGAAAATATGTCAAATGAGTTTTGAGATATTTATTTTTTTGCCTTCAAATGTACTACTGTAAATTTCCGAAGAAACCCTTCCAAATTTTGCGCTTTGTAACCAACAAACCATTTTTAAATATAATATCCAAGCTTTTTTAAAGCTGAATCAATTTAGTCCTTAGTCGAGCCTCGAGAGATGAGAATAATTTATTTGCAATATCTGTCAGCTGTCTGCGGGTCTAAAAAGACAAATTTCACAATCTGCTATAGATACAAAATAAAACTCTACTTTTGAGATTTTTGCCGACTACTTTTTTTCTAATCAAGTTCTTTTCTGTTATTTTTCACCGGCGTGCGCGTAAAACAGAAGTCAAAAATGAAATTTTGAATATTTAGTCTCAGACTTGATGATAATTTTGCTCGAAAAACTTCTGCCGTGTTCAAGCGCAAATTTGCCCGGCTTTTTGGGGAGATACAATGTGAATTGTAAGCAAATTAAAGTTATCTGTAATGGAAAAGAAAACATTTATTTCAGTCTTTAAGTTGAATGCATGATTGCGATATTTTGGGTAAATAATATGATTATTGTATTAGACACACTATATTTAATGACAGAACAAAATCAGGCAACGATCAGATTTTTTAATTTTTCAGTTTCAATGGTAAAGTGAAAATTTATTGGACAGTAAAAACTGGGGACTTTCGCCACAGCTTGATTTTGCCGCCGACACCTCTCACACCTGGAAATGTTCGTCTATTCGGCTGACAGTCGGAGCTTTCCGATGAAGTAATTGACTCTCATTTTCTTCAGTCTGGAAATTCAAGAACGATTAAGCGCCGAATGAGGTCTTCAATTTTTCCATATGGAATTGCATTTCTATTTCAGCTGCTCGAAACTTTCATCTTTAGAGAATGTCTTTTTTTTCAGTTTTTGTTTTGACACGATCTCGTATAAATCCATCAAGAATCTTTTGCAATTAAGTTCCAATGTTCGCACATTGTCCTCGAAAAAAACACCAGTTTGAAAGACTATTATTTTAGTCATTATTTTCTCGTTGTACAAAAATTTATTTAATAAGAAAATATAGCCTTTCAAACTAGGTTATTGCATTACTTTCTCAATTATCAATTCTAAATAATTCGGTAGTAGAACAGATCTCCTTTCGTCTTTTTAAAACCATAAACCCAAGTGCGACAGTGGACGTAATAAATTTTCCGCAATAAATAAATTTGTGCCAAATATGAAAAAAACTTGACCTTATTTCACTAAGACAATCACAAACTCATTAATTTCTTTCAAATTTGTTATTACTTGTTAGACAAAAGATTGCTTTGTACCAAAGAGAAAGAAATGAATTTTAATGACGTTTATACGGAAGAGGTCCTTTTTGGAAGCGAATATTGACTTAATCTAGCATACGCTTTTAATATTCAGTGAAGTTCATAACTACATGCGGTTTCTAAGAGGAAATTGCCTCGTGTTTACACAAGGAGACGGAAAATTCTAATAAGAAAACAATTCGAAGTCAGCTTGCTCGACCTACGAACATTTGAGCAAAATGGAGAAATTTATCCATGACAACGTTTTTCTTCGCCTCGTGCGAGAGCATTAGTTTACAGTTACCCAAACACGACAATTTGGCGACATTGTTCGAAGGCAAAGCGAAATGAAAGGATGAAACAAACGTAAGCGTCTGTACGGGTTTACAATGAGTACAATTGCCCGTAGTCACCCTTCCAAGGTAAGCTTAACTTATATTGGACACGCTGTTCGAGTCGCTCTCATCGAACAGTAAACAATGTCGTCAATTGTGCTTGCTCGCCGGGTTACGGCAAAACTGCGCTCGATTTGAATGCTCTTTTTTTTTTTACTACTTAGTAAATTACAATGTCTGTTTATAATAATAACTCACAGGAAGATGCTTCGTCGGTTGAAATGAAGAAGAAGACGAAAGAGATGAAAATACGATTGGCGAAGGTAATTTCCGTTGCGTTCAATGAATTTACCGTAATTAAGCGCTTTACTGAATACGCTTTGAACCATTCAATAGTTTATCAGCGAAATTACTTGGTTGTGATTAGAAAATTGTTTTGAAACCGTCTTATCTCCAGTGAAAGCTTTCTGAGGTCAGCCAATACAAACCTGTGCAAGACCGAGCGATTATTTGATTATCCATATATCTTTGAGGATTGTGAAGCAAAGATAATTTGTAACAACATAAAATGGCCATGGATTATCGCAAATACGGTAAAAAATCCAAAGTCCAATTAGATTTTATTCTAAAGCGTCAGCAATCAAACTCGAAATATTTCCTTGCCACAACACATCAAAGGCAAGAGTTTGACGCCTGGTCGGAACGAAAGTCAAGTTGTCGAAAGGACTCGGTGTTAATTGCTGTATACAATCTCTTGTTCTGAAACAGGGGGAAAAAAACATTATTTCCTACAAGTCAGATGTGCAATGCGCATTTAGCTTTTTAATATACGAGTCACAAATAAAATTCGGCAATTTCTGTTTTGCGTGTTCACGAAAATCTTCTCTGACATATTTTAAGTGTACGAACAGTAAGTCATCTATTACCTTGGAAACGAGAAAACATGATGATCTTTATGAACGAATTAAAGGCGCGAAAAGTAGTAATTTTAACAATCGTGACTTTCCTTTTTCCCTCGAGATTAATTAGAAGGGCCTCGATCACGTCGACCTTCTCGTGTTAAAGTTACCAACAAGATTTGAGTGGAAAATTCAAGATTTTGTGAGAACCTTGAAACTGCACGTAAACTCCAAAACTAGCATTTAACTTTATTCGATTCGCATTTTCGCGAAAGTAAGAAATTAAGTTCTCAGTGATACGCTTTAAAATTAAACCGCGTGTGACTTCGATTCTCTTTGACATGTTTGAAGAAGGAGATAAAATATCTTCAAACCTAAAAGTTTGTTTACAAGTAAACATTGATCATTGATTCTAGTTGTTATTATTCCTCTAGCAAGGGCTACAAGAGAGGTTATCAGTTTTCATGTCTGTGCTAATGTCAGTGAACACCGATATAGGATTGGGTAAAATTGCTTGCGTAAATAAAACACTTATTAACAATTCTATCTATGCCCCTTTATCCCTTTAAGCTCTAGCTAAAGATTATAATCTTTCGGAACGTCAGAGCAAAATTCGATTAAAAGGTCGTTACCAATTTCTCGTTGCTAGGTGAAGTGTAAAAGAATAATAAAACTTGTTCTTACCAACAAGTTTGTGAGCGTGACTGCACACATCTGGTTCGCGTGCAAGGAAACCATTTGACTGCAAGCTCTTGGCACGAGCTATTAATTTCTGACCGAACTATGTACGATATTTTTGGGTCTTTCTCTCGTCCTATTTTCAATTTTTACCGCTTCCTTTTAACCAAAAAATCCAATAAGGGGGGTGGAGGGAACCAATTGACCGACCTAAGAGTTTCCCGAGAAGGTTTCCGGTCATTTCTTTTTAGAGAAAAAAAAAAAAAAAAAAACCAACAACACCAAAAATTAGATTGAAAATATACACCATAATGCGATTCGCACCGCTTTACAATGCCTAAAGAGAACTAATCGAATTAAACAAAACTACATCCGAAAGAGAGCATATCATCGAAAATCGATATATGCTCGCATACATTCTAAAACAAAAAACAGTTCTACGATTTTGATTTAGAATTAAGATGAGCTTGTAATCAAATCCTTCGATGAATACACACATTTGGGCGATAATGCAAGCTTTTTGCAACATGAGTGAGCTTTGGAACGTTATCTGAATCAACGTTGAATGCGTAGATACACTTTATATTTCTAACCTAGAAACGGTACTTATAAGTCCCGGAAGTTATAATTAACAATCTTACTATAATACCTTATTTGTCTTTGCGGTAAAGGATTTTGGTCGTAATATCTAAATCACTGCATGCTGTGACTTTGTATTGTCTCCTACGGGGTATCTTGCATATTATTCTGTAAAAAAAAAAAAGAGAAGGTCAAGAACTGTTCGTAATTTACATTTCCATGTCGCCATGGCAGTGCTGTCTGCAGAGCTAATTTTCTTCATGAAAACTTGATTCAGTTCTTGCACATTTTTGATAGCTGGTTGATTTAGAATCAAACAATGAACGAGGTCTTTGGTTTCCTTGTTCTCTGTGGTGAAAGACTGAGCGAGGTGTGTTTATGCAGCATGTGCGATGCACGAATTGCAGAGTATTATTACCGGGTGAGCAATGAGCTCGCAGCAACAATTAATGTCTTGATTTACCAACTCATGTGTAATGTGCCTTTTCTTTCAGATGTTTGATCTGTTCGATAAAGTGATCGAATTCAATCACAACCCGACGAGTGAGTCGGCGAAGAGGAAACTCGATTTGGTAAGGCCGTGTACTTTTTCGCATCACGAAAATCTAAAGAACATTAAACGAAATTGAATTAACTACAATGAAACCGGTTCATTCAAGTTCATCATCAGATCTAAGAAGAAATCTTCACAATGAACCATTCACAATGGATAAGACATACAGCATGCATATGAACTCAGATAACTCGAAAATCGTAGGAGAATTTGAGACGAAAAATTTAAAATTAGTTCTTGAGTACTCGCTAATTTAAAGCCCAATGGCTCTTTAATCTCTCTGCGGCACCGTGGATTTCTGCTACGTAAAACGATCGCCTTGCGGATTAATCTTTGGAAGTTTTATTTGAACAAACCTGATATCATAGATTAATTCAGTGATACTGAATCTTTATGCAAGAATATCTAAGGGAAAATTACAGAAAGGCCTCTGGCATCTTCCGTTGTTCAGACTTTCTATTGTGGCGGTGCATCACAGGAAAATATTCGTTATTTTGAATCATCTCAACGCGCCTGATCAAAAATGAGTCTACAAGGTTTAGAAACCAATTACGTAAGAAAGGGAAGTTTTACTCTTAATAGCATCTATTCTGGTAGCTAACAGTGGAAGTTAATTGAAAATCAATACCTTACTTATGTATTCGGCAATTAAGATCATATCTGCGTATGAAATTAAAAACTTTCTGGGTGGTTAATAATGAAAATGGCCAAAGAGACAAAAGATGATGGAATTGCAAATTATTTTGTAGGATATATATAATTTATCGTTAGTCGCTTTCTATAACTTAAGCGTCCTAAAGATCTTAATCTTTCACGAGTTATTTGCAAGAAAAGTAAACTCCCCGCTCGTCGTACAGTAAATTAGTTGATTCGCGGATTCAACAAGTTAAAGTTGCTACTACGAGACGTTGTGAGGTTTTTCTTCGAATGTTGCATTAAAATTTTTAGGCTCGTTTCGCAAAGCACTAATGAAAGCGTCTATCAGCAATCTGCTGGCTGCTTTGGCACTGAGCAGATTTTTTCAGATCAACCTCATCATCACCTTTTCCAGAAAGGGAGAGCTAACATAGTTTCTCTTAATTGCTTTAGGAAATTGAGAAGCTGAAATCCCTTCAACAACAACTTGAGGTACGTAAATATATCAGTAAAATAATAGAGAAATACCGGACGAGCGAAAGAACGAATCGATAACACATCGTTGCATATCAATAGACAGACGGGTAAATAGAGCCTGAACGATCGGATCATCCAAAGTCTTGACAGACAGACAGACAGACAGACAGAAAGGCAGAAGGGCAGACAGACAGACATATACATCCGATTTGCTTTGACGCTTGAAAAGTCAGTTTCAGAATCTCCTTACGATGGCCGATTCGCGTTATCCGACTCAATTGATAAAACAAAAAATATCTTGATGAGCTCCAACCGACGCAGCAGCAAAGTTTCTTTAGAAACTTACCCTCTTTAGACACGGACAAACAGAGAAAAAAAATAAGAAACAGACAGACGTAGACAGCCATGCAGATATACATACTTAGTACACACGTACATTTATGCAGGCAGGCAGACAGACAGACAGACAGACAGACATCGAGACAGATTGACAATTTGACAAATTGACAGACTGACAGACCGACAGGCAATCAGACAAATAGACAGCCTGACAAAAAAATGGCTGAGGTTTTTTCTGATGTCCCACCCTTCGCTCCACGAACGAGACCTGACTCCCAGTACAAATGTGTTACAAAGCGGCATGACAAGAGGTCGTCTTAGAATGACACTGTCAGCGGTAATGTTTGATGTACAACCGGCGTGATTTCACCGGCTAAAATAACGTATGGATTAGCGGTCTGATCTGGGCTTGAATCCCAACTGGGATAAATAAGTATTCAGTGAACGTTACCCCAGCGCTCTCCACAGTCTTGCTTGTCTCCCATTCAAGAGTTTTCAAAGAAATTACTATCACCTTAAACTTAAAAAAAAAATGCTGCGACTGAGGTGTTTGGACAGTTAAAATTCTCTTCATTTAGAAAAATGTTAAAAATAACACTATCATCATCATCATCATCACAATCGTCGTCATCATTATCATTGTCATTATGAACAGCATCAAAAGAACAATAGCAGGGCTGCACAGAGTGACTTCAGTATTACAGATATTAGAAAAATACTTTCCTTCATCACCATTTTCTTGCATTTCTAGAGGGAGCCTCAAAAGATCGACCTTTTCGAAGAAAATTTGAAAGATGTCCAAGAATACGGCAAGTGAAACGTTCTTTCTAACACTTAATGCAGTTCGATTTCACTGCACTATAGTGTTTCTTAAATAATCTTCTGTTGACATGCACCTCTTCTGTTTTCAGATAAATTCTACATCCAGTATGTCAATCATGTTTCTCAAGATTTGGAAAATTTGAAAAACAGTATAATTCAGTATATACAGGTAAGAGTCTAAAAAGGAAATATTGACTGCCTCGTTTTTTGCCTATGGTCCTCAAATCATTATCTATCAGGGAAATAAGGAAAAAAAACCTTATTGTCATCTAATGCAAATGTATTCCCTTAAGTGCAAAACTGCTAGAATCAGAGGGAAAAAAACTAAACTCTTTATAGATTCGTAGCCGAAGATCCTGAGGTAAGGAGGGGAAGAGAACAGTAAAAAAACACACAAGTCATATTTTTCAGCATAAACTTTGTTTTCATCCTCCAATGATCTCAATTTTGCGTCTTACACTAAATCCATTTGGCAAACGATGGTGTTTCTGCAGTAGTGTTCACAAAAATAAATGAGGTCCGCTTTAGTCATAACGTCCCACACCCCCCGACCGCTTTCATTGAAAATATTATTTCACAAAAATCCTCGTAAGCGGCCCCTATGCGGTGGGGCGGGTTTGGCCGGAAAAAGCCCCACGGCCCCACCGACGGCTCCGCGAGAAAAAAGAAGAAGACTGAGGTGGCCCTCCCAGTCAGTCAGTCAGTAAGTACCCTGTCTTCTGCTTTATAGGAGAAAACTAAAGCTGAACAACTGCTCGCAAAGGAAAACATGAAACTGAAACGTGAGTTTTCATTTGCATGTATTCCACTTTTCTTTATTACTTATGTCGTTCTGACTTTCGTACATTAACAGTTAGGCCAGGTTCTCGAGAAGACAATTCAAGATCTGAAATGAACGAATGGTGTTCTGTTAATAGGATCAATCTAACTTTGGTGAATAGCACCCAGCTCTTCCTCAGACTGACATTTCTGATTCATAGCGAGTATACTAACTGAGGGTGAAGTTCGTGAGCGGAGGCCCATAGCAGAAAACAAATATGGCAACTTTGTCAAACCGAGATAACTTAGTTGCCACGCGAAAGCTATTCGTCTGCCAGCGCACAAAATTGCATTCGGACGTCGCCGGGCAATGTAAATGGACGAGTGGACGGGCAATTTGTAGCTGGGAAATCCGAATGAAATTAAGTGTACTAAAAAATTCACCAACTTGGGCACCGCTTTGAAGACTTAGCTGAATTTATGGTATTGATTGATATTTTTTAATGGTTCACATTGGCTTTCTTTTTATGTATGGAAGTGGCTGAACCTTGATTTAGTAGTGTAGACCTTCTCAGTAATAAAAAAATGCCTTTTTTGATTTACCTATTGCAGTTGACTTACAACGCGAGCAAGCTGAATCGATGCATCAGCAACAAAAGTAAGGAACATAGGCAGAAAATGTTAATTTTTTTTTCCGAGGGGTTAAATGTGATTTTCCCACCGTAGATCGAGAAAAGTGGAAGCTCCAAGTAAAGAGGTATTGGTTTGAGATCTGGTCGGGTCATGTCTTTTAAAGAGAGATTTAGCAGTGCGTTTAGGTGAAACGGCAAACGTCAGCTTGCCCATTCACGTTTCACGTAAAATAGCGTGAACCCTGCTGCTTCAGCTTCGCGTGTGCTCACGTCAAGGTGGATTTGAAGGCGCCCTTGTATGGCTTACATAGAATAGTTTTGATGCCCTTTTTCCGGCAGTTAACTTCTACTCTGTGAGAGAAAAGGGAAAAAAATCTTACGTACACGGCAAACGCGAAACAGGATGCTTTCAAGTAGAAGCGGAAAAGCGCAACTGGCAAACGTGAAAAAATGGCGGGAGAAATGAGGTGACGTGGTCACTTTTTCCGTTCACGTTTCACGTAAAAGCAGCGCTAAATCTCTCTTTGATCTCGGTGCTCCCGTCCACAAGGGATACAGGATTCTACAACGAAGTGATGTACCAATGAAACATCATGTTTTAAAAATTTGGAACTAAATGTCAATGTCATTTATTTTTGTTTCCAAGGCACGAATACGCTGTGGCAGAGAAGAACACAGTCTTGGCGACTTGTAGAAAGCTGGAGGAGCAACTGGAAGAAAGAGGAAAACAAATTCAACAGTAAGTTACATAGATAAGTAACTTTTCTAAATTAATTTTCTGGCCTGGAGAACTCAGTGAGGTTTTTAAGGGTTCACATGGAATAGAAGCTTCGGAGTTGAGCTTAAGTTGACAATTTTCACAAACCATGACGATTTACCGAGTAACACGAGCTACGGAAGAACTATGATCCTTTTTCTTAATTATTGACGATGCCTTATTCATATTAATGTACCACCGAAATTTCTTTCAGGCTTCAACGCGAGGGAACTGTGAGTCTGTGGCAGCGAGAAAAGGCGAAGCTGATAAAAGACGTCCAGTCAAAGTAACGTTCCCTACTTTCTGTAGATCATGTTTTTTTTATAGAGAACCTCGGTCGATGTTTAGCCGATATGTCGATCGATAGTCCATCCCTGATCGGTCTGTGGTCAGCCGATAGAGATAATAGTTGACCGATACCTTACCGATAGTTGGCCGATGGTCGACCGACGGTTGGTCGAGTGTGGTTCGGCCATCGGCTGACCTTCAAGAGACATCGACTGTGGTTACCTTAAAACATACGATCTTTTTCTTTATGAAGGAGGTGAGATTTGTTTTTGAGTTTTTCCGTTCATATGTCAGTGAACAAGTATTCTTATATGATTTGTTTTTTAGTGAGGAGAGGCTTGCAAAGGAACTCAAAGAAACTAAAGATCAATTAGATGATACAAAATCAAGACTAAATCAGAGAATTATGGTATGGAATAAAATATAAGGGGGCTACAGAGCACAAGCATATTTTACTGCTTTTCCTCCATATGGCTGGGTCATTCGTGTAACTGCTAGAAATTCCGCTTAACAATCCAAAAAACGCACAGCTGTTGAACTCATCGCTGCTCAGTCGATTGTCAATCTGTTGGGAAGCAAAAGCGCTAAAACCAAAGTTGCAAGGCCGTTTACTCAGAGCACCAGACCTCCTCAGGCTTTATTTATTTATTTAATAATTGGATCTTTGCTGGTTTCATAGGAGCTTATGGATCAAGTGAAATATCTTAAAATGGAGAAAGATGTCAAGAATGGGACAGTGAGGACGCATGGAGCAGGTAAATTTGTGAATAAGAAGGGATATATATAGCGAAATTCATTTGGTTAAGCTAAGAAATGATCCTCGCTCCCAGGTGGACTGCGAAGCTTAAAAAAATTCTGGCTTTGAAGGAGATTGGAACCCAGACCTCCTAGATACTAGTTGGGCGCCACTACCATTTGAGCTACGGAGCCTTATCTTGGGAGCGAGGCAAATTTTATAGGGTTCGAATTTCGTCGAAACCTGAATTTTTTCAAGCGTTTTAATTCTTGCAATTGCAGTCAACTTTTCACCCTTACGTCCTGAAATGCGCGCAGAAACGAAAATGCAGTGATTTGACGATATTTCGTCAAACCGAGCGAATATTCAGGGTTTGACAATTTTGGTGAAATTTCGTCAGAATCGTCACTTTCACCAAATTCGTTAACTTTTTGGCACTGCTCTAACCACGTCATATCTAGTTACTTGTAAAATTTCATAAACAACCTTTCACCGATTTCATCAGAATCATCACTTTAAACAAAATTTGCATAAATTGACAAATTTCGTCAAATCTGTCAAAATCGTCGACAAAATCTCGTCAAATCTGCCATTTTTGTCCCTGCATGCATTTCTGGACATAACTCACCTAGAAGGATCATCTCTTTGCTTGAGTTTCATCCGCAGGTCAAATGAAATTTATTTCTTTACAAGTTCCCATGAATGGTACAGTGCTAAGATTTGTTGTTTTTTTTATCCTTTTTCTCCCCAGTTCCCCATGTTTCCTCAAGTGAAATGGAGAAAATCAAGCAGCAATTATTCCTTAAGGACAGAGTACGTATCAGGGTTCGCATTTTTAGTACACAATGACACGCAGCTCGCAAGAGCGGAAGAAAGTGGTACTGATGTAGTAAGAGGTCAAGGAAAATACTTGAGCTGTGTAAACTTAAAACAAAAATAAACGGATAGAACCAGGTTGCACTGAGTGTGACAGGTCTTGGTCCATTTCTCTCTGTGATTGGTTAAAAAAAAACTCGCGCCAGCCTCTTAACCAATCAAACGCAGAACTACAACGAATTGTGACTTGGTCAACCGCGTTTTCCCGCGCTTTAGGCAGTTGTTTTCACTCTAATTTCTCATTGGCTCGTTTAGATATGTCCTTGGTTCTGATTGGTCACTGTGATATGCTTAGTCTGCTTTTACCTCATGCCTCTTTTCTAAAGCGAGTCCTGGTGCTCATCCTTTCATACGATGATTAGTTTTCATTCACATTTAAATTTAATACATTTTCAAAAGAGTGGTGGAGCACCAGGCCTAGTTTTAAAAAAAGAGCCCAAGGGTAATTCGGAAATGGCCTATTCATTTTGTTCTTTCAGTTATTGGTTGTGGCAGAAGGCGAAATCCAAAAACAGCAAAAATATTATGTAGGATTTATAAGTGGATTGAGTCGAGATTTCAGGTAAGCCACCCCAACAAATACTGAACTGGCTGGTAATTGTTCTTCACGACAGTTCACTCTAGTAGAATGATGTCTAGATCTGTAACTTTTGGTACAATAACTGCCTAACACGCTTTAAAAACCTTTTAAAACTTGATTGCAGGATTATGCTGGAAAGACAACATCTGACAATCAAAGAATACAACAAAGATCAAAAAGCGTACGCTTCAATGTTGAATAAAATGTACGTGGCAGCGAAAGAAGGTGAGCTTATGTCGATGCCTATTGCCCTTTTAAGCAATGGACCGCACTTTTATTGGTTTTTTACCACCATTAAAAGTACTGTCGTAATCTGACTGACCAGTTAGCAAACGTGTCACGCACTGAAAGAATTGTTTCATTTGACGTCGATATTGTGGTGAAAACAGATCGACAATGATTTAGAAAGGTCTGTACTCTTATCAACAACGATATTCGTCATCACAATGGTAAAAAATTGTTGCGCACTCACTTGGCTGCACCTTGTAAGTCCACAACATTTTGACCACTGTGGTGACGTATATATATATTGTGCATCATATGTAGAATGTGGACTAACCTGATTTTAACGAAAAATTTACACTAGGAACTTTGACGGAGTTTAGAGCGACGTTACCTTCTCACTATCTTGGAATAAATGAGGTAACAAGCCATACTTATGTGAAATTTTAATCTCAAACAAATTCATTCAGAGCTGGAAGAACGATTCAAAAATTGCGGCAAGCTGATACGAAAACAAACAAACAAAAAGGACTCGGAACAGTGGCAGGTCGTGTAAACGCTTACAAACACAGAAATATACTCACTAATAGCGCATGTTCAGTTTCAATTTCCGTCTTAAGTTATTTTTTGGTCGATTCTTCAGTGCGATTGGCTAATCTGACGGATAAAAAACTTACTTAAGATGGTAAGGTGTGAGTAGTCCAGTGGGTAGTCCAGTGGGTAGTCCAGTGGGTAGTCCAGTGGGTAGTCCAGTGGGTAGTCCAGTGGGTAGTCCAGTGGGTAGTCCAGTGGGTAGTCCAGTGGGTAGTCCAGTGGGTAGTCCAGTGGGTAGTCCAGTGGGTAAGGCGTGAATAGTCCAGTGGTCAGTGCGCTGGACTCTGGGTCGGCTGGCCCGAGTTCAAGTCCTGGCTGGGGCATGACGCTGTGTCCTTAAGCAAGACGCTTCANAGGAGACGTAAATTTCCCATGCACGAGATTACTGTGTAGTGGATGTCCTCCCCGGGGTGGGATGGGTGGGAAGGTGAGATCGCTACATGGACTGAAGCGGTTGCCAGAGGCGCCTGATAAAAATGCTGACGTCCGATCTCAACCTTACGATACTGTTAAGCGCGACTGAATATATCCACATAGAAGTCTGCGCTATATAAATGTAAATGTAAAAAATGTAGACACAGGCAGTATTTACGCATCAATGTCGGTACCTGAGAAACTGCGCACGTACCCCTAACCCAGCACTGGCTCTAACTTGTCATCAATTGACTGTTGTTGGTTTTCTCATTTCCATCCGCTTTGGGGTTCTTGGAATCCTTCCGTATGTCGACCTTTTTTTCTGTATGTGTCATGGTATGTAGGATCTTTCTGGCCATCCATTGGGTAAAAAGCTTTCAACGCCTTTCCAGGATTTGGAATTGCATTTACAAGAAGTTGAGAACAGTGAATTCAGGTGAATCAAAATAATTTTTAAGACTTTTATTAAGTTCGATAAATGTCTTTCTACGCTTTCACGTTTCAGTTACAGTCAGTCTTTCAATCAGTGCGCTGGACTCTAGCTAGGCCGAGTGGTCTGGGTTCAAGACCTGACTTTGTCATTTTGTTGCATTCTTGGGCATGACACTTTATTTTCACAGTGCCTCTCCCCATATAGGAGTAGAAATGGGTAACAGCGAATTCTCAGGGCTGCCTGATGAAATGCTGTAGGGTAGTCTTGTGATGGACTGGTATCCCTTCCCAGGGGGGGAGGAGTCATACTCATAGTTGCTTCATGCATTGGAAACCGGGATAAGCTCTGGCTTGATGGGTCACTTTGCTCGGGTATAGACTTTACCTTTACCTTTATATTTTTTGAAATTATTACAGAGTTGATATCAACCATCCATTACTTACGGGTTGGAGAGAGGGCAGGTCAGCAAGTGCCAGAGAGAATGCCAGAAAGTTTTCCAAAAAATCATCTAAAGGTAAAACAGTCTAAGCGATAAGCCAGTAGGACATTTTTTGTAGATCACGAGCGACCGTCTGTTATTTCATTCACACTGAATATTCGGGGGCACTACGGGGTATAGCCAATCAGGTTACAAATCAAGTCGATATATTGGATGCCAATCCGGCCAGATGATTGGTTTATACTAGCTACCTTCATATCCATATTTCATCAATAAAATCTGAGCGGCTGTGAAAAAAAAAAAAAAAAAAAACAGTTTTCTCACGTTGTCATTCCTTAGTGGAAACTCTTATATTATCAGCCGAACGTGGATAGAAACAAAAAGCAGCCAATGGCTTATTTTAGTCTTTCATTGCTCACGGGCCTGTTTCTCTCGGTCATTTAGTCAGCCAGTCAGTCAATGCGTCTGTCAGCCAGTCAGTCAATGCCTCTGTCAGNTGACTGTTGTTGGTTTTCTCATTTCCATCCGCTTTGGGGTTCTTGGAATCCTTCCGTATGTCGACCTTTTTTTCTGTATGTGTCATGGTATGTAGGATCTTTCTGGCCATCCATTGGGTAAAAAGCTTTCAACGCCTTTCCAGGATTTGGAATTGCATTTACAAGAAGTTGAGAACAGTGAATTCAGGTGAATCAAAATAATTTTTAAGACTTTTATTAAGTTCGATAAATGTCTTTCTACGCTTTCACGTTTCAGTTACAGTCAGTCTTTCAATCAGTGCGCTGGACTCTAGCTAGGCCGAGTGGTCTGGGTTCAAGACCTGACTTTGTCATTTTGTTGCATTCTTGGGCATGACACTTTATTTTCACAGTGCCTCTCCCCATATAGGAGTAGAAATGGGTAACAGCGAATTCTCAGGGCTGCCTGATGAAATGCTGTAGGGTAGTCTTGTGATGGACTGGTATCCCTTCCCAGGGGGGGAGGAGTCATACTCATAGTTGCTTCATGCATTGGAAACCGGGATAAGCTCTGGCTTGATGGGTCACTTTGCTCGGGTATAGACTTTACCTTTACCTTTATATTTTTTGAAATTATTACAGAGTTGATATCAACCATCCATTACTTACGGGTTGGAGAGAGGGCAGGTCAGCAAGTGCCAGAGAGAATGCCAGAAAGTTTTCCAAAAAATCATCTAAAGGTAAAACAGTCTAAGCGATAAGCCAGTAGGACATTTTTTGTAGATCACGAGCGACCGTCTGTTATTTCATTCACACTGAATATTCGGGGGCACTACGGGGTATAGCCAATCAGGTTACAAATCAAGTCGATATATTGGATGCCAATCCGGCCAGATGATTGGTTTATACTAGCTACCTTCATATCCATATTTCATCAATAAAATCTGAGCGGCTGTAAAAAAAAAAAAAAAAAAAACAGTTTTCTCACGTTGTCATTCCTTAGTGGAAACTCTTATATTATCAGCCGAACGTGGATAGAAACAAAAAGCAGCCAATGGCTTATTTTAGTCTTTCATTGCTCACGGGCCTGTTTCTCTCGGTCATTTAGTCAGCCAGTCAGTCAATGCGTCTGTCAGCCAGTCAGTCAATGCCTCTGTCAGCCAGTCAGTCAAGGTGTCTGTCAGCCAGTCAGTCAGCAGGCTGGTCGCTCAGTCAGCCAGTCGAAGTGTCTCAGTCGGTCAGCTGCTCTATGCAGTACATCAAATTTAAGCGTTTCTAATCTGACTGACTTACATCGGCAGTTACCGGCGTTCATCCGAGGCTTGTCGACACGAAGCTTGGAAAACCGCTTCTAAATGAGGCTAAAGAACACTTCCCTGAGTGGTCTGACCAAGAGGTAACATTTCATCACAAAAATAGTTATCACAAAAACTTGACCCCGGTATGGGTAGCTCGCTGAACTCCAGATAGAGCGGTCTGTCTAGAGTGCCAGACAGGGCTCTTGTTTGAGTTCTTGTTCGAGGTATCTTTTCTTGGCCATGCTTCTCTTGAGGCCGAATGCGTTGACTTATAATTAGCAATGATCCAAACTTGCTGACTTGGCGTCGCTGTTAATCGAGTTCCGTTTAGAGTACTTTTCAACTGACTTTACAATTTGTGAAATCTTTACCAAAGTAGTCACAACAGCCAATAAGACTGAAGGAAACGCTCACAGAGATCCAATAGGAACCCTTTGTAAAAAATAGAAAACTTCCTGAAGGGCGGGAAGACACCGGTGCACAGGTCACGTTTGGTGTAAGTTTGGTACTTATAGCTGATTGGGTGAGAGAGTAGCACAAGTTTTCTGGACCAATCAAAGCGCGAAGTAACGCAATCTTGCCTCAGGATCACTTTCGATACACAGGTGAAAACTGTTCCAAGTGATCCCCTTTTGCTCTCAAAGAAAAAAAAATGCAGAAAGTTAAAGGTTAAGAGATTGAGGTTTTAGTTTGATCGTTGTAAACAAAGACGAACCTATAGAGCATTCTGCATTCAGCATAATCCTTGATTTCTTACCAGATTCAGATGATGTTCGAGCAGTTTAAGAGATTCGACACAAACGAAGATTTCAACCTTGATACGCAAGAGGTAGGAAAGGAAAAGGAACTTTGTTACGTTTTTAACTCGTAGATCTATGGATATGCAATATGTAAATTTTGTGGCGCTAACATGGCCGTAGGAGTCTGGGGAGAGCAGATGACGGACCAGTTGTTAAACATAGGGTTTAACAGTAACTCACTGACTACCCAAGTTGTTACAACCCAAAGTTAACAACCCAAGTTGTTACATTTTTAACTCGTAGATCTATGGATATGCAATATGTAAATTTTGTGGCGCTAACATGGCCGTAGGAGTCTAGGGAGAGCAGATGACGGACCAGTTGTTAAACATAGGGTTTAACAGTAACTCACTGACTACCCAAGTTGTTACAACCCAAAGTTAACAACCCAAGTTGTTACATTTTTAACTCGTAGATCTATGGATATGCAATATGTAAATTTTGTGGCGCTAACATGGCCGTAGGAGTCTAGGGAGAGCAGATGACGGACCAGTTGTTAAACATAGGGTTTAACAGTAACTCACTGACTACCCAAGCCCTCCTCGGTTCCTAGAGGCTCAATTCTGTTTCTTAGAATCACAGACTCTTTGGCTGCCAGGACAATCACTGTAAATTTTAGTTCTATTCTGCAAGGTATATCCACGAGTTCACCATTTTGTCACTTTAATGACTGACGTTTAGGAAGTTAAGATAACGCTCTTTCATGTTTGAAATGTGTGATTTTCTTAATTGCATCCCGTATATCAAAACGAATGGACATGTTTTAATTTCTTTTCTTTTCACAGTTATTACGAGCAATCCCTGATACGTTAGGTAGAATGGCAACCACTGAAGAAATAAAGGTACTTAAGATAATAGACCACTTTCATAAATGGCTGCCGGATTAATATTCTTTTGTTTAAATTTAAATTAGCCCTACTGGCCTCGTTCACAAGTACAACATTCAAAATAATACATTATCTCAAGCGAGGCCAGTAGGGCTAATTTGAATTTAAACAAAAGAATATTTATACGGCAGCCATTTATGAAAGTGGTTTATTATTGTTAAGCAAAAAAATAACCTCTATTTAGTGGTTATCTCTATAAGAAATGCAAGGATTTAAGTATTAAAAACCAAAAAAAAAAATTTCTGTGGTGCATATTGCATTGTTAATTTTCCTAGATAGGCTCTGACGAGAAAAAGTAGGCGACAAAATCTGTAAGTTTTATATGTACTTCAGAAAGTTTAACTGTAGGATAATTTTGTCACACAGGAAGCGATGTTAGAGGTAGATATAGATGACTCTGGAACGGTGGATTTTTTCGAGTTTCTCTGCGTAGCAAGACTAATTTCGCAAGGGAAAGGTAAGTAAAAAGATATTCCACGAGTACTAAAACGCGACTTTGAGTTGGCACCGATGGATGCATTCCAATGCTACATTAAGTATCCGTGTTCTGATATTTAGGAGAAGCAAGGCTATTCAAGAAAAAGACTCTCACAGCATTACAGAAACCGAACGGGAAGTCGACCATCTGTTCAGTTCAGTAGCCTTCACCACGCCCCACACACTTCAGAACTATTTTCAATGAACATTATAACTAAGAGTGTCAGTTTGTTTCTCAAAAAGAAAAAAGGACAAATATGTCAAGACTCGAACCTGATATAACAGTACAGTGCAAATAAAATCCCAAAAGATACGCTGTAATGTGGATTTTAAGATAGTCCTCGTAATTCAAAGTCGAACCAATTGTACTTAACTCCCACTTTCACAGAAAACTTTAGAGAACCATCTCTGAACACATCTTTTTAAGTCATTCAATAGCTGATAATTGCATATTTGTCATGAATGTACAAATGAATCATGTAAACATTCAAATGCGTTATTTAAAGTCGTTCTTGTCAAAGAAATCCTATGGTTAATTGTACATAGTTTTAAGTTAATCTCTTTATTACATCCATTTTGAAATCTTTAGTGATTCCTGCAATCTGATTGGCTCTCATTGGTGCAATTAAATCACGAATAGCACCATTTTTTTGCTCTAAATCGCATCTTTTCCTGGCCAGTGACAAAGCTCTACTGAAAAACAACCACCAATCAGATTTTAAGGCTTATTTAAAGTAACAAATCAAATTTCAGGAAAATGAAAGACAATTTCTTTTTCAACTTTTTTGTAAACCAGATCAATACTGGATCAATAAAATATTTTTAAAGACTACAAAAATCCTGTATGTGAGCAACTGAAATTTGCGATCTTTAAATTGGATGTGGTAAAAAGATAATTGGGCTTTGTGTTGTGCAATTTTGGTCTTTTTGATATTTGTGATTTCAAATCAAACTTGTGCTGTCTGCTCATTCAATTCTGAAATCACTTGTATAATTTTCACACCAAATTACACTCCACTCAGTTCAATTACAATTATAAATCCAGCTGGTGTTTAAATAAAAGACAGAAACAAGAAGTAATTCTGACTGATTCTCTGTGCAAACGGTCAACAAATGATTTTTGTACAATCTCCTTCATTTCCTTTGACCTTAAATTGACAACATTTGAGAATCACTCCAAAGCATTGAATAATAATTGCATAACCTCACAATTTAAAAGTTTTTTTAGCCTCTGCTACAGCAAAAATGACTTGAGGTCTGAATACTGGAATTTGCTCAGTTTTCACTGTTGTTAATGGTATCCACAATACCCCTCTTTAAAACACCATGTGTTTTTTAGTGTGTCTCCAACCCCCCCTTCCACCCCCCCACAACTTTTGTAAAGGGCATCATGAGAAATGCAAGTGAGACTTTCTTTTAATCAGTTTTGGAAGGCAAAAGAAAAAAAAAAACCATAGGATCCCAACTTAGATAAAATTTTTGAACAACTGACAGTCTACAAGACAGTACAAATATCTTCATCAAGTAGGACCTTTAGTATGTTTATTGTAATGCGCACTCGGAGATTTTTGATTTGTGCATGTCATGTACTCTGACAGAGGTGAAAAATTCATCTGCATATATATTTACAAAATGAAACAATGAACAGATAATCTATGAACACTGCTAAGATGCTTCTATGTACAATTATATTTCAGGTTATTTTTCACAATTTTCCGGCTCAGCATTCTTTGTCATCTTATGCTCTTTGTTCTCCTGTGGAGATCAAGGAAAGAAAATATTTTAGAAAACCTGCTGCCAGTCTTCCCTTCGTTTTTTCATCACCCCTTGAACACCCATGAGTAGCGAAGAGAGAATTTCCTTGCAATGTCCAAACAATATGGAGTAGATAATGTAGTGATTATTAACTGGGTTGCCTGTGCATGCGCAACCCTAAGGAATTGCAGGTGAGCAAGAATTAAACATGTTCTTGTTTATCTGTCGATGATCCACCTGCAACAACAGAGTTCCCGTTAACGCACAGGTGTGCGTCTTATACACACAAAAAATGAAAAGGACGCACAGTTTTTGCCAATGTGCGTCCTCGGGACGCAGGAAAAAGGTTCCGACTAGTTAGGAGACTGGGTCTGACGGGCCCTACCCAAGAATTACTGCAATCATCAAGGCATGTCCTTTGACCCGCCATTTTGTCATGGTCAAGAGCATGTCTACTCAGAAAGGCTTATTCAATATATTCGATATTCAAAAGGGGAAACCTGGAAGTGATACAGATCTGGGGGATGATACCCTAGTGAAGAAATGCAAATTTTGTCCCAAACGGTTGGAGGAGTTCCAATGGTTAAAATATGATTCAACCGAAAAACAAGTGGTTGGTGTTAAGAAACATGAGCACACTTTATTCCAAAATTAAAGCTCTATTAATGGCATTAACACCTGGTCTTGGCTTTTGCCTCTCTGTTAAAAACTATAAAATTAAATTTTAGTAAAAAGGCAGGGAACCCCTAAAAAGCTAAATGGACCCCCAACTTTTAAGAACTGGGGGTTCCAAGGACCCTTAACTATCAAAAGTATTGGGAACTCTGAACAAGGACTTGGTTGTAGTACTGACATTACAGATAAGTGTTAAGAAAAAATTACCAATCAGAGCACCCTTAGTTGATCAAATACCAAATTCTTTAAACTAGCATCATAAGAATTGAAGAGCAAATGATTAGGAGAACTGGTGAAATCTTCAAAGTAAAAGAGTCAACTATGAGCTCTGTGCTGCTAATACCAACTCACAAAAAATTTCTAACATTGAAAAACTGTCCAAACATTATCAGTGTTTCCCAAAAAAATCAAGTAATCTTGGAATTTTTACCACATTCATAATCTTTCAAAATCTCTTTTATTTGCCCATTCTTTCCTTCAAACTTTCATATTTCCTTGATTTGAATTTAAAGTCACTTCTCCCTGACATTGAATAGGTTTATTTCTAGTCTACTTCTTGACATGAGGCACCCATTCTTAGAAAAAGTTGTATTGGCAATTTTCAATATTACAAAAAAGCAAGAAACTTCAATCTATTCTCTGATTTTGTTTCATTCATTCACCCTTTGGCCTGTCCATGTTTGAATTTGATTAAGGTTATTTATCAAGGTTAATCAAAGCTTAAACATTCCCCCATGACCACACAGACGTTTGGTCTTATTTATATAAAAGCATCTTTGAGTTTTAAATCAATTGAGTTGTTAGCAGAATCCAGCATGCTAAAGCAAGAAAGGGAGTATTTGTTCTTACAAGAAGGAGATGTGTTGAAATGCTTAAAAATATGCGAGTTTTTGTCGCTTTCCGTGTGCTCCTTTATCCTAGTAGAGAAGTGGCGACTATTTTCGCCAATATAACGGGAATTACAACCCGCACAAGAAAATTGGTAAACTACCATGGATTTTCGAGCATCAGGAGTACGATCTTTAACACTGAACATGTTTTCAATTTTAAAAGAAGTGAAAACTAGTTTGATATTAAGGTCCGATTTGCAAAAGCGCTTAGTGAGTTGTCGGAGTTTAAGGTACGCTATTTTAGAATAATAGCCGACAAAGAGGAGTTTAAAGTAACGTGTATTATTGTCATCAATGTTCCGGCTATTTTGAGAGGAGGACCCGTCAAGATACCGTCCCCTCGATTAACTATGCACAGAACGACTAAGTTGAGAAATCTTCTGGCATCCTACAGCTATTGTACAAATTATATTCAACATTATTATATGCTAGTATATAACCAGCCATTGTGTTTGCCAAGGTGTATTACCAGCTTGGGTTAATGCAAGAGTGCAAAAAGTCACTTATGGGTGTGATTACCATTTGACTCTCAATGTTTCCTTGGCCTTAATCATAATAGATGTTTTTCTTAGCAATGGTCGGACGGCCCGGGTTCAAGTCCTTGCAGGGGCACTACGTTGTGGCCTTAAGCAAGTCGCTTCACTCACATTGCTACGTCTTCTCGGATAAGACGTAAAGCCGTAGGTCCCGTCTCCTGCAGGGTTTGGGGCAGGAGACGTTGATTTCCCACGCACGGGATTACTGTGTGGTGGATGTCCTCCCCTGGGTAGGATGGGTGGGAAGGTGAGATCGCTACATGGACCGAAGCGGCTGCCGAAGGCGCCTGATAAAGTGCCGACGTCCGTTATCAACCTTACTACATTGAGGCTGAAAAGCCCCTTTAGGGGAGATTCAATTAACGTTGCATGGTCTTTCTTCTGCGATTTTCTATCATAAGCAAAATAGAGCATTTTTTTTTTTTTTTAGGTCGAATTTTCGATTCAGCTCGATTGAATCTTACACAAATTCTTAACCTTTTTGATACTTTATTTCAACTTGTATTCTTCAAAACTATTCATGGTCAGGTTTAGGGAATAACAAATACAGAGTCTTGATGAGAGTTCACATACAGACTTAAGGAGAGCTCATAATCTAGGCATGAACTTGAATTGCAATTTCTATCAAATCTATTATGAAAGAAAAGGCACCATGGTACATAGGCCGGGCCTTTATCTGATGCAGTGCTGATATAACCGTCTGGTGCGCATTCCATCCCATATAGTTTATTTCCTACACCTGTACAAAAAGTATATACAAGATATCATCATTAAAAAACCATTGAAAGTTGAACATCCACAACTTTATTTTCACTTTGATTTCCTCATAATTGGTGGGTTCCACTAAGTTTTTGGGCTGACACCTCTAGAAAAATATAATAATGGTCTGAACATTGCTATTAATAAAGAATGTCTGATAACTAATTACAATGTCGAAGACAACTTTTTACATACCGACTAAAAGAACTTTTATTTTAAATTTCTGAGTTATGCAGTGTGAAATATTGCTGCAGGGGTAATAAATTTCCTCAAAAAAATTTTTATTCATTGCTTCTTTTTCTATTTTTCACAAAGGTCAAGAAAATATGTTCAATACTAGACATAGTTCCATAGTGGAAAAATTTGTTTGATTTGAAAAAGAAAAAATAAAACAAAAAAAAACCAAGGACAGAAATCTAAAAATATAACAGTCAATATTAACCCTTTAACTCCCATGAGTGACCAAGATAGAATTTCTCCTTACAATGTCAATACAATATCAAGCAGACAAGTGATGAGAATATAGAAAAATATCAGATGGGGATTATTAGGTGTTCAATTCAAAATTCTCCCAAGTAACACCAAAAGAATTGTATGGCAGACAATAAGGAGAATTACTAACAAGATCATGGGAGAGGAAGGATTAAGGTGGCCGAACACAGTTTTCGCGCGTGCTTTTACTGACGCCATTCAGCGCACGAAAAAGGATCCTAAAAAACAAACATGCCGTAAATAGAGCGGTCATTTTATTTACTCAACAAGTACCTGTACCCGCACTATCTGCGCTATTTTTCTCTCTAGTTGATGCAGTGTATTGATGGTTTTAGTCTTTTGTTACAAAGATATGTAAGAAAAGGTAAAAGTGCAAAGAACGCAGTAATTCTCAGCTTTTTCGTTGTTAGTGAAAGAGCCCAGTTAAATGCAGCGCATGCGTAGTAAGTCAAAAAATTTCTGATTGAATGGAAAATTGCTTTCTTGGAAATACGCCTATTTCATGAAAACCACTCATTAGAATATCATGAATTTTGGCATGGAAATACTTTAGGAAATAAGTAATGGGAGTATTGAAAAAAAATTGAACTTTAATGAGGGAAATTCTAGATATTTCAGTGAACCCTCAACAAGGTATAATTAAAGATCTACCAATTAAATTATTAGCAAAATGGTGTCAACTTGTGAGTATCATTACAAGCTCATTGCATGCAAATTATAAAGAAAATCTAATGACTAGATTTTCTACAAATAAACAAAATCGATTTTAAAAGCCATTTTATATTTGTTCATGCTGCCATGGCAATGGCACATCTGTCAGTTTAACTATCAAAAAAGCAAAGTTTGTGTTGTTCACTTGCTTGATGCCAGTTTTGGCTACTGAGGGATCAAGGGTTTTAGAGAAAAAGGTGAATGAAACACAGGCATCAAAATCTGTGTATAGCCACCTTAAAGGAAAACTGATCATGTTTTGCTCATCAGCAAGAACAAGACCTTTGTTTTGGTTAAATCAATCTCACATACTTTTACTGTACAGTTAAGAAACTTTTTGTTTCATTCATACTCCTGAAGTATTTTCTTTAATAGGCAACAATTACTTTAAGGTTTCCTTTTGTTAATCAAGGTACTCATTCCACTCAAGAATACTTTGTGCCGTCTTTCTCTAACTTTTTCTTCTAAACTCTACTCAGTTCAACTGAAGGGAAAGAAAAAGCAAAGTGAAGACATAATTAAATGGAAGTTGAAACTCTGATATTGATGACCACATAATCAATATCAATACTAATCAATATGTAATCAATACTATAAATTATGGATTAAATTTATTCCATTGGGATTTAGGGCCTGTGCATGATGAGGTCCATAACTTACAATACTAACCACAGAAACAAGGTTAATATGATATTCATGCTACCTTCATGTTCAAATAGAGGGGGAAGATTTCAAATCAAACAAACTGTTGAAATCAGTAGGCCATACATGGCAGTAAAAATGACCAATTATGATAGGTCTCAGGGTTTAGATCTGATGGCACCATTAACATTTCTGTTCTAGGCCATTCACTCAATCCAAATTAACTTTTGTATGAAGCTGTTCACCAAGTTATTTTGAGAAAAATATCATTTGACCTCATATTGAACATCAAAACTTTAAGAATCACGACCCAAATCGGCAGTTTACAGTCCTGTAAATATCTTGACATGCACCCTCCTCCTCCCCCCTTTCCTGGTCCAGTCCTGTCCACAGCTATAAGGAGGAGTCTTTTTGCAACTAGCAATAGCCTACATACCACATTCGGTATGGGGTATTACTTAAAACTGGATCATTGGATAATGCAATTCAAGACTTTTTAATGGCTTAGCCATTATAGTATATGAGCTAATATACCATAATCTACAAATATGGTAAGCGTACGTGTCAGCTTAAAATCAAAAGGGAGCTAAAAAATCC